TCTTGTGAGGCTTGATTCCTTATAACAGAGGAGCATACAAACAGAACACTGCAAACATATACCACTAGACGGTGGCACCACAGAATTTATCTTCACAATCCAGGCTTTCCCTTTTTCTGCCTCTCACTAATGCATGACCATACAGGAAGTGGCTCTCAATGGCTTGGGGGGATGGATGTTTTCCCCTACCCCAGGAAGACATTTGGCAAGATTTGGGGACAGTTTTGTTTGGGAGTTGCCAATGGCACCCGGTGTGTAGAGGCCAGGGATGCCACTAAACACCCTACAATGCACAGGGCAGCACCCCAGCCTCTCCCTACTCCAGACTAAAGAATTATCCAGCCCAAAATGTCCACAGTGCAGAAATAGAGAAACCCTACTGTACAGATCTTTGGAATAGATAATTCAGCCCATTTGAGTTATTAAAATGATCAGAAATGATCATGTAGATCTATTGGCTGGTGTATCAAGAGCCTGAGGACTGGGAAAGGAGTAGGTAAATAATTTTCATCTGTCCTCCACCCCCGTCCCCGCCCCGCCACTTTTTTCCTTTTCCAATTTACAATACTAAGCAGCAGCTTTATTCCTGAGAATAGACCTATTTAGGAATGTGACACTGCTCAGGCTTCCAGGACTGGCCAACAAACTTCAGGAGATCATCAGAGCTGCCTCCTCTGAAGCAAAGAGGTGCACACTACCTAAGACCTACACTGATAATATTGGAACCTTGTACTGATTCATTGAACACAGTGTTTATTAAGGCCTATACTATTTTGGGGAAAACAGCCATGCACTCTGCCCTCAGGAGGATTGCAGTCTGATTTCCCTGAAAGGAAGAATTCATGACTTTAAATTCAGAAAACAGAGTCCATTTCAGATAAGGCTTTTTCCACTCAAATAGTGCAGAGATCACAAACTGGCACCCAGAAGCAAAATCTGGTTTGCAGTTGTGTTTTGTTTGTCCAGCAAAATGCTTTTAAAAAATGCTAATGTTTACAAATCAGATCATGCAAAATTCTGGATTGATGGCTTGCCTGGAAGAATCACAATCTAGCAACACTAGATGTGTCTGGCAGCAACCTGCTAGAGCCACAGGCCTGGTCTAGGTCACTGATTTAATGTGTCACCCTAAAGGAACAGAGTCAAAGAATGCCCACAGTGGCTCATCTGGGAAGTGACAGGTGGTGAAACAGCAAAGGAGGGAAAAGCTGCTCAAGGCTGTGCTCTGGGATTGGCCACTGCCATGGGTGACTGCTGCTCAGTTTCTCAGGGTATTTAAAGGAATCTTCTGGAATGTGTCTTAGAAGTGTCCACCCAGAAAATGCAAAGGGGGAGCACTTCTCCAACAAATCCTGGCCCCAGTAATCAAGGGTGGCACTACAGGCATCAATTCTTTGTCATTCATTTGGCACAAGCTGGGTTATGCACACATGAGTGCTGGGTGACTTCTAGGTATCCCAATGGTGGGGTTAGAGACGCACTTGCCATAGAAAGTGAGATGAGGATTTCCAGCCTGTGGGGTTGTACTCATGTGAGGCTGGTCAGATCCCATGCACACTGCTCTCCACATCAGTGGCAAGAGTAAGGCTGGGCCAAGAAGATTCAAAGAGGTCTGCTAGAGGTGTTTCCTGCAGTCACTCATTTGTGTTACTTGCCTGGTTCTCACAAGAGCTGGGTGTACAAGGTGTGACACTGCCAATTCTTTCTGCCTTTAACACCCAGCCAGCCATTCTCATACCCCTCCCCTACACAAACACACTCCACACAGTTGTCACCTGTGGGCCTTCCCATGAGGTTCTGTAGTCTGTGCAATGCATAAAATTGCCTACATACAAAATGCGACCACCTCCAGTCCACACTTCCACGTCCAGACTGTGCCTAACTGGGTTCTCAACTACACCACCATGTCCCAGCTCCGAGGAGGACACCTTTCGCTATTTCTCTGAATCTGCACAAAGCTAATTTTTACTTGCCAAACCATGCCGCTAGAGTAGCTTTTGCTAATTTAACCAAAGGTACAATACAGGATGCAACCTTTTCAATACCCAAAGTTAATTCCCACTGACAGAAAGGCTTGTAAGTTATTCTTTTTTACATAGCTACACATTGATTTTTAAACAAATTTATATGACTGTTCCTCTGAAATATCAACTATCCAGAGGAAACAACTTTTAACATTATTACGTAAATATAATCCACTATTTTCCCAATGCAAATTATATACACACACATATATACATATATAAACACACACATGAAAGCATGTATTTACACATAAATACACACAAAAAAAATCTCTCTGAATCTCAATTTCCTTATCTGATAAGAAAGAATAATGATAGTTATCTCACAGAGATTACACAAACATACACACAATCCCGTCTCTCTCACACATTAACAAGAACTTTTAAACTGATATGCAATAAAAAGTATAAAATGTAATTCTCAAATTTTCTAAGATGTAGTAATATGGATAATTTTTTATGGTGAAAATAATACACCCACTGTGAAAAACTACTCTTCACGTAATTATATTTTTCTTGAAAGTCCCAAGTTTGTAAACAAACAAAAAACCCAAGATTAGAAAGTCACCACACTCAGGATATCATGTTCTGAGCGTTTTGTGTATAGCTAATGATAAGAAATCTCCTTCTGGTAAAGAATCGTAATTCAAACCTGCATGCCATCCTCATGGGAGGAAATAAGAACTCCCTACAAAATCTATTTATGAGGAGGTTGGTACCTTAGACAGGGGCTCTTTTCCCTTGAGGGAAAAGCAATCTCTTGATCGATGGAAATCATTTTTCAACAAAATATCTACAGCACTAAATCTGTTAAAACTAGTTCAATAGTCTGTTCCAATTCTTGTGTTAAATAGTAGCATGGAAAATTTTTTTGTATCAGTCGTAATCTATAGTAACCACAGGATAGGTATAGAATTATAAAGAAGTTAACTTTGTATTATTCATTTGTTTAGAGAAAAATATGTTTTTGAACATTAAAATTTTATTTTAAAATTATATGAATATAAAATGCAATATAATCACTTAAAAATTCGCATGTTTTAAGACACGTTTTTGATTATGATGCTTAAATATATTTGCTAACACCATTTGAAACCCTACAAATCATTCAGAAATTAGGTATATACTCAAATGAACCCAATTAATTAAAAAAAAAGGTTACTCTAAGAATACATATTAATTTCCTTCTTCTTCCCCTTCCTCTTTTTTTTCTTCTCCTTCTCTTCCTTCTTGTCATTCCTGTTAAAATTCCTGATTTTAAAGCTACTTAATTCTCTCATCTGGATGGAGACTATTAACTTCAAAGAAAAATTTTAAGGATTAAGTAATGAATAGTAGTATTTTTTTAAGGCCTAAAATATGGCATACCTTCAATAAATCTCTTTTGATACTAAACTTAGTTCTACAGAGTTCTTGCTCTTTGGACCAGAATGACATAGGGTGGGAAAGATAAATCTAATTGCATTTTATCAGCAATAAAGGTATCCACTAATGAGGACTTATGACGTCCAATTTACATGCTTCTTTAATCATTGTGAAAATTCTAGGCTATGAGTAGGAGAGGACCTGCTTATACTTATTGAACACTCACATGTTAAATCAGGTAATCCTCACAGGAGGCTTCCAAGGTAGTAGTACAGTTATCCCCATTTGACCAATGAAGACACCACAGTCCATGCAGTTCAGCCTGTGTGCTTCGGTAAAAATGTGTGAGAAATGATCATTGACATGTTCCTTGGGTGATATGATTTGGCTTTGTTCCCACCCAAATCTCACCTTGAATTGCAGCTCCCATAATTCCCACATGTCATGGGAGGGAACCAATGGGAAGTAATTTAATCACGGAGACAGGTCTTTCCCATGCTGTTTTCTTGATAGCGAATAAGTTTCACGAGATCTGATTGTTTTATAAAGGGGAGTCCTCCTGCACACACCCTCTTGCCAGCCACCATGTAAGACATACCTTTGCTTCTCCTTTGCCTTCTGCCATGAATATGAGGCCTCCTCAGCCATGTAGAACCATGAATCCATTATAAATTGCCCAATCTCAAGTATGTCTTTATTAGCAGTATGAGAACAGACTAATACATTGCGTCATGAACAGGGAGTGATGCTAGCCTAACCCATACTGCTTCTATGTGATTAGGAAAGGATGCTCTCTTTGGGAAGACACATCTAGAGCCAGGAATGAGGGCTGGAGGATATGTAGCTCTCAACCTTTTTCCATAGGAGAGATCTATGAATGGTGGCCCAAGTAAGCCTCTCAGAGTTTTCTGAAGACATAAATCCTCATTTAAAACTCATATTTGAATGAGCTAATATTTCCAGTTATAGAGGTTCTGAGCCTATTCCAGCCTAGGGCTTTTCCTTCTAGAGCTGCCTTCTTAATACTCCATGCCACTTTCTAGTAAACAATGGCATAATGAGACTGGAATGTACCTGATGGAACTGAAGCCAGACCTGGGCAGTACACATCCTCCAAGTTCTTATAAAAGTAACTGCAAGATAGGTATAGAACTGTGGCATATATATATATATATATATATATATATATATATATATTCTCTATAGTTTTTTCTTTTCCAGAGTGTCACATAGAATTATATATATATATATGATTAAAACTACAGAGAATATATATAGTTTTCTATATATAGAGTTTTTCTATATATATATATATGTTTTCTATCTATAGAAACTATAGATATAACTATATATATACATATAACTATACATATATTTCTAACTATACATAGAAAACCTATATATATATGTTATATATATAGTTATAGAGAAACTATATATAGAAACTATATATATAACTTATATATATAACTATATATAGTTTACATATATAGAAAACTCTCTATATATTTATTATTTCTATATATATGACATTTTTTATGGAATGTTTCACAAATTTCTGTGTCATCCCTGCCCAATGCCTGGCAACTTCTGATATTTATATTGTCTCTAGTGCTTGCTTCAGCAACACATATACTAAAATTGAAATGATAGAGAAAATATTAGCATGGCCTGCATAGGAATGACATGGAAACTTGTGAAGCATTCCATGGGAAAAAACATGCATATATAAAATATATATATATCATATATTTATAATATAATTTATAAATATATAATATATTTTACATATACATACACACACACACACACACACACACACACACACACACACACACATATAGTCTCCAATAGTTTTTCCTTTTCCAGCCTGTCATATAGAGCCATGTGCTATATTACACCTCTTCAGTCAACATCAGACTGCATATATGACAATGGGGGTGATATAAGATTAGAATACTATATTTTTACTAGATATTTTCTAGGTTTACATATGTTTAGATCTACAAATCCTTAGCCTTGTGTTGTATTTGCCTACACTACTTAGTATAGTAACAGACACAGGTTTGTAGCCTAGGAGCAATAGACTATACCAACGTAGCCTAGGTGTGTAATAGGCTCTACCATGTAGGTTTGCATAAGTCACTCTATGTTGTTCACATGTCGATGAAATTGCCTAACAACATGTTTCTCAGGACATATCTCAATGTTTAAGCAGCTCATGACTGCAGTTGGTATCAGACAATATGCAGCTTTTCCAAACAGGCTTCCTTTACTTAGCAATATGGTGAACCTTCTTTTGACTTTGGTTTTATTGAAGACAGGCTTCAGGAAACAAATATGATCACAACACAGAGTTATTTTCAAAACTCATATAAACTTTTTCAGATAGATCTTACAGAAATTTCACTGAGACAGTTTCTAACTCTCCTCTCTCCTTGTGTCTCAAGCCATTTATCTATAATCTTTAAAGTACAGATAGAGGTATCCCAGGAAAAAATTCAGTAAGTCCTCCCTTAAGATGACCTTCTAGGTGAGGACTTGGGAAATCAAGAGAATGTAGTAGTGGATTTTCCTAGATTCCATGAGATGTAAATATCCACATGAGATTTTGTGGCAGAGGTAGGCAAACCACAGCCTGCAGGTCAAATCCAGCCTCCTATCTCTGTATAACACAGAAGCTAAGGATTATTTTTATCAATATGCATTTGCAATCAATTTGATGACACAGAAAACTAATTTCGAACTACAATTAAGCAAAATGTTACCCACCCAAAAATAATTTCATCCTTTTCATTACTAGAATGACTTTCTTCTTATTTAGTAGTTAATCTTTTACGTATTATATTCAATTATTATTATTTTTAATTTCATCAATGAAACTTTTGTAAGAATTTGTTTTCTCACTTGCTGTATCAGCACCTACACAATATCCTCAATTTTACCTCTTGGTGCACAAAAATTAAAATATTTATTCTTGGCCCTTTACAGAAAGTGTTTGTCAATCTTATTCAAGAATAGTCAAATGGTCTCTAACTTTGCTTTTCCCCTTCTCCCCTTCATTTTTTCTTTTATTAGTAATACACCCTCAGCTAACTGTACCATTACGCTCTAGAAGACACAGTATGAACCGGACTATGAAGTAATAAAAAGGTTTAAAGAACTCCACCCTTGAGCCTTAAAAAAGGAAAGTGTCTGTTAGTGAAGAGTAGAAAGGAGGCCACAGGTTGGTGCCAACTTCTCCAGGCTTCAGTAAATACAGAAATCTCTGTTTATTTTTGTTTGTCATCATCTCTCTGCTTCCCATGTGGGTCAGCAGGGGTGTAGTGGAAAAAGGCTTTGTAGTTAGACAAACGTGCCCCCCACCAGCTTCTGGACTATCAACAATTGCTCATCTTCTTTGCATTTTGGGGTTTTAAATTTTGTTTGGTTTGTTTTTGACTCATAAAAGGGGTTATTTCAATGACTAAATGATATAATGTTCTTACACCACAGAAGTTCATAACTTTGTGTTGTTGTAAAGCTTTAGGTAATAATGAGAATTAAATATTTTCTTCTTCTAAGAAAACCGTGTGTGTGCGTGTGTGTGCACATGTGTGAATGTGTGTCTATGTGTGTGTGTGTTTTCGTGTTCAGAGGCAGAAGGGAAAACTGTAATAATAGTGCCATTATACCTCCTGGCTTAAAGGAGAGCAAACCCAGCAAGGAGTCTGTATTAGTCTATTTTGTGATGCTATAAAGAATATTTGGAATTGGGTAATTTATAAGGAAAAGACGTAAATTTGGTCAGTGATTCTGCAGGCTGTACAAGCATTACATCGCCATCTGCTCAGCTTCAAGGGAGGCCTCGGGAAGCTTTTACTCATGGTGGAACGTGAAGAAGGAACAGGCATGTCACATGGTGGGATGGTTAATACTGAGTGTTAAATTGATTGGATTAAGGGATACAAAGTATTGATCCCTGGTGTCTGTGGGGGTATTGCCAAGAGAGATTAACATTTGAGTCACTCTTAATCTGGTGGGCACCATCTAATCAGCTTCCAGAAAATATAAAGCAGGCAGAAACACATGAAAAAGAGAGATGGGCCTAGCATCCCAGCCTACATCTTTCTTCCATGCTGGATGCTTCCTGCCCTCGAACATCAGACTCTAAGTTCTTCAGTTTTAGGACTCAAACTGGCTCTCCTTGTTCCTCAGCTTGCAGATAGTCTATTGTGAGACCTGGTGATCCTGTAAGTTAAGACTTAATAAACTCCCCCTTTCATATATATATATATATGAAATATATATATGACACACACACATATATATAACCTATTAGTTCTGTCCCTCTAAGAGAAACCTGACTAATACAGTAAATTGGTACCAGTAAAGTGGGGCATTGCCAAAAAGATACTTGAAGATGTGGAAGCAACTTTGGAACTGGGTAGCAGGCAGAGGTTGGAACAGTTTGGAGGGCTCGGAAGAAGACAGGAAAATGTGGGAAAGTTTGAAACTTCCTAGAGACTTGTTGAATGGCTTTGCCCAAAATGCTGAGAGCAATATGAACAATGAAATTCAGGCTGAGGTGCTCTCAGATGGAGATGAGGAACTTGTTTGGAACTAGAGCAAAGTTGACTCTTGTTATGTTTTAATGAAGAGACTGGCAGCATTTTGCTCCTACCTAGAGATCTGTGGAAATTGGAACTGAGAGAGATAATTTAGGGTATCTGGGGGGAGAAATTTCTAAGCAGCAAAGCATTCAAGAGACAACTTGAATGTTACTAACGGCATTCCGTTTTATAAGCGAAGCGGAGCATAAAAGTTTGGAAAATTTGGAGCTTGACTATGCAATAGAAAAGGAAAAACCATTTTCTGGGGAGAAATTTAAGCTAGCTGCAGAGATGTGCATAAGTAGCAAGAAGCCAAATGTTAATCCCAAGACCACTAGCAAAATGTCTCCAGGCCATGTCAAAGAATTTTCTGACAGCCTCTCCCATCACAGGTGCAGAGCTCAGGAGGAAAAAGTGGTTTCATGCACTGGGCCCAGGGTCCCTGTGCTCTGAGCAGTCCAGGGACTTGGTGCCCTATATCCAGCTGGTCCAACCACGACTAAAAGGGGCCAACATAAAGCTTGGGCTGTGGCTTCAGAATGGGAACCCCAAGCCCTGGCAGCTTCCACATGGTGTTGAGCCTGCAGGTGCACAGAAGTCAAGAACCGAAGTTTGGAAATCTCTGCCTAGATCTCAGAAGATGTACAGAAATGCCTGGATGCCCAGGCAAGCTTGCTACAGGGGTGGGGCCCTAATGGAGAACCTCTGTTAGGGCAGTGCAGAAGGAAAATGTGGGGTTGGAGCCCCCGCACAGAGTCCTACTGGAGCACCAACTAGTGGAGCTGTGAGAAGCGAGCCATCATCCTTCAGTCCCCAGAATGGAAGATCCACTCACAGCCTGCACTGTGCACCTGGAAAAGCCTGAGACACTCAATGCCAGCCTGTGAAGGCAGCTGAGAGGAAGGCTGTACCCTGCAAAATCACAGAGGTGGAGCTGCCCAAGACCATGGGAACCCAGCTCTTGCATCAATGTGACCTGTATGTGAGACCTGGAGTCAAAGGAGATCGTTTCAGAGCTTTAATATTTGACTGCCCCGCTGGATTTTGAACTTACATAGGCTCAGTAACCTTTTGTTTCAGCCAATTTCTCCCATTTGGAATGACTGTATTTACCCAATACCTGTGACTCCACTGAATCTAGGAAGTAACTAACCTGCTTCTGATTTTCCAGGCTCATAGGCCGAAGGGACTTGCCTTGTTTCAGATGAGACTTTGGGCTGTGGACTTTGGGGTTAATGCTGAATTAAGACTTTGGAGAACTGCTGATAAGACATGATTGGTTTTAAAATGTGAGGACATGAGATTTGGAGGGGCCAGAGGCAGCATGATATGGTTTGGCTGTAACCCCACCAAAATCTCAACTTGAATTGTATCTCGCAGAATTCCCACATGTTGTGGGAGATAATTGAGTCATGGGGGCTGATCTTTCCTGTGCTATTCTTGTGATAGTGAATAAGTCTGACGGGTTTATCAGGGGTTTCCGCTTTTGCTTCTTCCTCACTTTCCCTTGCCGCCACCATGTAAGAAGACCCTGGAGGCCTCCCCATCCCTGTGGAACTGTAACTCCAATTAAACCTTTCTTGGTTCCCAGTTTCTGTGGAACTGTAACTCCAATGAAACCTTTCTTGGTTCCCAGTTTCGGGTATGTCTTTATCAGCAACGTGAAAAGAAACTAATATACATGGCAAGAGAGGCAGCAAGAGAGAGAGAGGAAGTGCCAGGCTCTTTCAAACAACCAACTCTTGTGTGAAGGAACAGAGCAAAACTCACTCATTACTGTGGGGAGGGCACCAAGCCATCTTGAGGGATCTGCCTCAGCGGCCCAAACACCTCCCACTAGGCCCTGCCTCCAACATTGCGATCACATTTCAACATGAGATTTGGAGGGGACAAACATCCCCTCCAAACCATATCAGGGTTGACTGTATCAGAACAGAAAAGGAGAGCCAGCATTCTGAAGCCCAGGACAGCTGCAGAAAGAAGCAAAGGACTTTGAGGTGTCATCTAGACCGAGAAGTGATACAACACACCTTGCTGCCCTCCACCCTTTTCTTCCATCCACTTCCCAATGCTACAGGATCCAGTCACCAGCCAAGCTTGTGGACCCCTCTAATCCCTTTTGTT